AAATGACAGTGGTAGAAATGTCACACTGCAAAAATTAGAAATCTAAGTCATTTTTTCTTAAAATATGTGCATTTTATCTTGAATTGAGGTGGTAAATGAGACACTGCCAATAAAATAAGACAATTTACATTTAAAATAAGAAAAATCATTCGCATTGTCTTATTTCAAGTGCATTTTATCTAATTATCGTATTTTAAGAGTAAAAATACTCATTCCATGGGCAAATTATCTTATTTACCTGCTCAAATTAAGGGTAAATACACTTAATTTAAGATTTTCTTTATTTCTGGATAGTTTTAGCAGTATACACATAATGGAGTGCAAATTTAAACAACAAAAAAATATATAAACATTTTTGTGGCTTGGGTTCAGCTTATTTATTACTGGAATAAAGAGTAAAACCCACCCTGTGTGATGAGATCAGGGTTAAGGACAAACTCATCAGACACCATGAAGCCTCCCGACACAAACAGTTCGTTGTATGTGTGGTTCTTCACGTCGTCCAGGGAGTCAACTCCAGCAAAGCTCACTGAGGGCAACTTTTTTAGGGAAACCAGAGCTGGAATCTGCAGCACGAAAATAAACTTTATTACTTCATGTTTAGCATCTTATAAAATAATAATAACAAATCTATAATGAAATTGTTATTAAAAGCTTTACAAGGAAATATGAACAAACACACAAAGTTACAGATGAAGAATATTAGCTGGGCTGAAGTTAGCCAGGCCCCAGGAAAACCGAGTGGTTTACTCAAAAAAATGTTTTCAGGACGCTAGACAAACAGCACTTTTTACTGCATGTTAACTTTCATTGATTGATTGACTTTATTGATCTCACAGTGAAGAAATGTATTTGTTACATCGGCTCAATAGTCAAAAAGAGAAAAGTGCAAATATAAAAACAAACAGGGCTACAGAGGACCAGGAGTAGCTACATCACCTTGTGCACATGTGCAGCGATGTCTTCATTCCTGATGATGATGAGGAGCTTATCCAAACTTCCACTATTTTCCAGAAATGTCTGCGGACTGCATTCACTGTTGCCTAGACTTTTCAGGTACTCCTTTTAGACAGACAGGAAAGGTACATTGTTAGAAACGGAAAGGCAAACGACTGTGTCCTCTTCTACTACGTTTCCAAGGTTGAGTGACAGATACAAAAGGAAAACCATGCATTGAAACGGGACGTGTTTTGCACATTTGCACTTCATTTGTAAACATCTGTGTGTGCAGACAGCAGTGGAGTCTTTTCAGATTAAATTTGAATACATGAATGTGTAAAAATGGGAGTAATTAATGAGGACTGCAAATAAAGTATATTTAATTAGTCACAACCGTTTTTATATTCAAGAGAGAAAAAAAACTAAACATTCATTCTCATGAGACTAGTGGTAGATTTAGGACCCTTCTTTTTGATGTAACCAATGGAATACAGCAAATTTTGAACCTAAATGATTACAACATCCAACACAAAGCTGAGTAACATTTCAAAAAGAAGCATAAAAGCAATTCTGTAGGAAAGTCCTTAGCCTAACAGCTGTTTCATGTTATAAACTACTTTAACCCCTCAGCTCTTAAACACTTCGACTGAAGGAAGAGAGCTATATGAAGATACCACACCAGGAACATTTTTAATAAGTTATTAACTAAAACTTTTGAAGATGTTGAACTGCTGTTTACTGAAAATTAGATTTTTTCATTTTATTATAATAAAACTGAGCAAGGAGTGCTCTATTTCACTCTGTAAACACCCCAGTAGGTGCATTTTCATTCATATTCAGTTTGAGGAATATATGATTTAGGTTTACTCATGCTTTGGTGTTTCAAGGAATGTCCTGATCCAATATTAATATAAGATATTATAGATATATTACCTCAAAAATAGATATTGGGTTTTGTTGGCCGACATCTAAAATCTCTGATATTTTCAAGCTAATGGAAACATGTTTCCTCTGTTCAAAGTGTCTGCAAATTATTGGTTAATTTTACATGGGTCAGTTGTTTTCATACCATTGACTGTTGACTTGTGTTCCCTGTTTATGAAATATTACTTGACAAGCATTTTCTAACATTTTACATTATAATATAAGCAGCTATGATTCGTGCCAATATCTTATCGGGTCAATATCCGGACAAGTATTTTTACATTTTCTACGGGACAAACAGGAAATTGGCAGAAAGAAGCCTGATGTCCAATTGTTATAGTAATGAAAACTGAAGGTCATTGGTGGAAAGTTTCAGATTCTACCTTAATCTCCTTGCAGACAGTGCTGTCCTCGCCTTCTTCTCCAGAGTAGATGTAAAATTTAACTGTATTCTTCGTGACGTCTTTGAAGATTTCCACCAGACTGGTGAAAAGCTCCGGTTTCAGCTGCCCAATGAGGCTCCCTGCGAGCAGGTTTGACCCGCCTTCAGGAGCAGCACCAGCCGAATGGGAGCTCAATTCTGGTGAGTCTGATGTGGCATGAGAGGGAGAATAAAGCCCTCCTCCCCCCAGTGCTGGAGCTTCTGTTTTAACCTTGACAGACGTCTCACTGCTGCTGCAGCTCTTTTTAACACCATCTGAGAATGTGGAGTTCTTCATAACAGAGGGCTCTGTTTTCATTTTGGAAAACTGCTTGGGTGCAGCGGTTGGGGTTCCAAGGCTAGATGTCACAGGGGGAGGTGGAGAGGTGACCTTGGGAGAAGCAGGTCGAGCTGGGATCAACCTGTCCATCTTTTCACATAGTGCTTGGACATGCCCCTCGACGGGTACAGGGGGGACGAAGGGAACAACATAGTGTGAGAAGTAGCTGCTGGGCTGCCAGCAGTGACGTAGAGACAGCCTTTGGGGGAGCTGTGAGGTATAGCTAATGCGCTGAGTCTGCATGATGTTTTTAATGTCCGATGTGAGGCTGCGGATCTCCTGGTTCAAAATGGTGTCCAGGCTGATGGAGGGCTGGAAGGGAACCTCATCTCCGACCATTGGCGCAGCAGGATTTTTCACTTCTATAGCAGCAGGCGTCTTCGCCTCTTGGTTGGTTTCTGCCGTTGGTGCAGGCTCAGGCTCAGGCTCCGGTTTGGCTTCAACAAGTGGCTGAGCTTTTTCTGGAGGAGAGCAGAGAGGAAACTGTCACGCTGATGCCCCGTTTACCTCAAACAAACAAGAAGACACAGGAGTAGTCCATGTCGATTTTAGCTTGGACAAATTCAAGAAAGTTTGAATAACGAAACTGGACTTCAGTTCTTGGAACTCAAGATGTTTGGCTTATTAACAGTAAAGCTTTCTCCGATCAAAACCAGCGGGGGACAAATTTTTTAAGTTGTGACTTAGAGCCAGGGCTGGACAATATGGCTATTTCTTAATTTTTGGATAATAAAAAATAAATCTAATCTTCAGAAAGATGACCAAGAATGCCAACAAGAGATGCAAGGAGAAAAATAGGACAAATATTTTTCTATATTTATATAATTAATACAACATAACATGGGGGGGGGGCCTATTCCGAGAACTCGCAAACTTTTTTTTTTATTGCGGAGTCTGCAGGATATCAGTGGCTCTCAAATCAAACAAAATGAGTTGCTAGACATTATTGAGGACATATTTATAAATATAATTTGTCTGAGGCATTGTACAAGTGGTTGTACTTCCTAACCACCTCGATCAACTTTTCATCGTAGTTGTCCATTGTTCCTCGGTTTTTAAAAATAGTGCCCCCCCATCACTGAATCGAGAAGGACGACCACAAAGACAGCCGGAAAGGCATTCCAAGGACCAATCACAGCTGCTTTTTGTTTGCGCACTTCCGCTTGAGGTCTGCACGGGTTTGCGACCGTCCGACGCGTAGTCAGGATTTTTTTGAGGTGTGCGACGACGATTGAAGAGGCTATGCGTCAGAAGCATAAATTGGCCTTTAGTGCTGCTGTCTGCCTTGATTTCTGACAGATGTTTTGGTCACATGGAAAATTATGTGAATTTGTCTTAAACTAACAGGGAATCAGACTCAATGCTGAACTAGGGCCCTATCATTTCTTTGATTCGGAAAACGCGGACAGAATCAAGGAATTTCACAAATAAAATGGAATGTATTACAAAACACAGAATCTCAAGAAGTAATATGTATGCAAGGTATTTTGTCTACTGCCAGCTCCCGTATATAGTTATTTAGGGCGGGCTCTTGTTTCCAAATCGACAACAGGAAGTAGATCAGCCTTGTCAAAGAGTCACGCAGAAACACCTAAGTCATTCAGAAAATAAAAAAAAATCTTAAACTTAGCACAAAGTTTAGGGCGGAACAATATCCCCGTGATTTTTATGAATCTGGAGAGCAACCTGTCTGCAACTCGGTCAGCACACAGTCGACTGGAAGCGCAAGAACACTTAAAAGTCAAGGAATCACATCAGAAACAGAGAGGAGGTAAGCTAGTGCCTGCAAACTCTTGAACATTCAACATCAGTGGAAGCAAAGCGGGGGTTTATTGAAGATTTTGTGTGTGGAATAAGACATTCCTTTAAAAAAAAAAAAAAAACGAGAAAGCTTTGTCCTTTTTTTGATAAAGTACTTCAAGCAAATGGGTGCATTGCCAGAACATGCAAGCAGCTTCTGTCAAACCCAAATGGAGGCCGTCCAGAAGAAATTGCAAGGAAAAAATATATATGGTAGTCGACGAAAAAACTGATGCTCGCGATTGCAGTGCTCTGAACATTGTTGTTGTTAATTTGAGCACACAATTAAATAAGTTATTTAAAACGTTTTTGAATGTAAAGGTCATACTATTTTTAAGTGTCATACTATTTCAATATATTTGTGAGTCATTCAATGTTTGAGGTATTTTGTTTGTGAGACGTTACATTCAATGCGGAATTACTCAAGTGAAGTTTGGTCTTGCACATAAAGAATGTTTTTCGGTCTATAAAGGACATGTTAGCACCTTGCAAAACACACGTAATGTTCTGCTGAAACACAGCAATGCATTTTATTTTGGAAAAGGAAAGTCAGTGTTGTGGCTAATCATTTGTTTGTTAATTTTCAGTTTTATATACTTTTACTGGTTAATGTTGAAATGAAAACATGTAATTAAGAAAAAAATTTAAAAAGTGTAATACAGAATGATAAAAATGTGGAATTTGGGAAAAAAAAAAAAAAAAAAAACTGAATTTGAGAAAAAATAAATCAGATTTCGTGAGGCCCTACTGAACTGTGGGTCTTGGAAAGCTAAAATCTGAGGCGTCTTGCTCTGATGTCAGCTTTTCTCCTCTAGCAAAGATCCAGTCAGATTCAAACCAATTTATAACTTGTTGTATAGGAATAAAACCACCAAAAGAGTGGATTTACATACAGTAGGGATGTCCCAATTCAACTATTTTCCTTATCAATACCAATATGGCACTGTATGTATTGACCCGATATGATATCAGCTCAAATCATATTGACTTTAATTACTTATTTTGTGGTGTGGGATGTTAAAAAGCTTGCTCAAGTAATATTAGTCCACCAGAGAGCAATACAAGTAGTTGACAAAAAAGGCATGAGGACAACTGACCCACATCTTATTAGCCAGTGGATAACAGCAGGAACAGCTCCTTGGAAACATTTTTTAAATCATCTAACATACAGACTATTGGAGCTGGTGCTGAATAAGGCAAAAAGTCGATAGTTTGCAACTTGTATCTATGGAGCAGCAAAACAATGTAATTCCTCTCCAGCTCTGAGTAGCATTTTTTTTTTTATTCAGAAGTGCTAAAACTGTTAGTTCTGACAGGCTACAAACAGGTTTTTTTCCACCTGAAATTAATTCCTTAAATTAATGGAACTTTTTTCACGCTGCTCCTGAGAAAATGAGGATATTTTTATGTGTAAAATTAAATACAGTATTAATTGAAGCAGAGAGTTGTGGTCTAGTGGTTACAGCAGAGCGTGCATCCGGAGGAGGCTGCCTCCGACTGCTCTATGTAAGCTGTTCCCTGCTTCCTAATGGGTGAGTGAAATGCAGAATATTTGACTGGAATAGAGATAAAATATTATTATTATAATACCATTATCAACTAACCATAAAACAAGAGTATTTTATGTAGGGTGTGTTCACTTAATAGATTTTCCTGAAGGTCAATTTTTGCCCACAATAAAATAAAATGAATATAGTAGAAGTGAGAAAAAAGATGGCTATTTGGATTAGTAAGGTTTCCGACTTCTGCTTTAAATGAAGAATAGGCAGATTTTATTAGTGAGATAGTTTGAATATTGCATTATAAATTCCTTCTGACAGGGTTGTGTGCTTCTGACCATCATCAATCTTCTATTTAGGTCACAGCAAAAATAAAAACGACTTCAGACTTTCCACAGCTCCTCCAAATCCAAAGTAATATATATTTTCAAGTTTTAATTTTTTTTTTAAAGATTCTTTAATTATGTGTACAAAATTTGGACTTCTCCACAGCAGTAGCACCAGGGCTCTGAAAGTCCTGCACCTTCAGTTGCACTACTGTAGGCTTCACTGCTTTTTTTTTTAAATTTATTATTATTAAAAAAAACAACAAAAAGCCACATTTCTAAAATCTATTTTGCTGAACTTTCTGCATCTGTTGATTTTTAATATCTTTAGTTTCCCTTTTGAACAGCGAGGCAGGATCTGTGCTTTAAAAGATGCTTTATAAAATCTTTAATTTACCATCTGGACATTAAATCCTAAATCTGGCTTGGCAGCACAAAAACAACTTTTTTCAATAGTTTCTTATTATTGGTTAAATTTCAAATGAAAAACACCTGCCTCGCCTTTTTACTTGCAGCAAAGAGTTCAGCAGATATAACCTGAACTATATAGCCTGAACTCCCTAATATGAAGGATGCATGTCTCTACTCCCCCTCTTCTCCGTCTCCAGGATCCTGACCACGTTTTAAAGTAAATACTCCCTTTCCTTTGTCAAGCAGAGGTGTCTGTTCCCAGGATAACCGAACAGATGTACAACCAGCATATATAGAGGATGCATGGAGGTCTTCTTTATTCAAATAGCAGATAACATCCTCATTGCATATCTGAGGTTTCTAGAAAGCTTTGATGAATAACAAATATAAGATCAACTGTGATCAACATTTGTATGTGATAAATTAAGTGTGGATTCTCACACACAATTTCAGGTTATTTTAAGACTGTGATACATTTATTTTGTTTGGTAAAAACTAAACTAAACAAAAAAAAAAAAAAGAGGACAATTAAAGCTGAAATCAGAAGCCTTTCAGGACAATCCTTGAATTACCTTCATTGACAGGATGATTCTCAGATATGACGTCTGAGGGCTGTGCTGCCTGTGGCGGCGAGCCCATGCCCGGCGGACTCCCTGGGCTACAGTCCATGTCCTCCTGAACAGAAAACAGCCAGTTTTAAGTCTACAAAACGTGTGGCAACAGAAAAACAGTACGAATTAAAACGATCAAAGCTCACCGCTGTGTAGTTTGTTTGCGGAGCTGCTTCAATTTGCATGGCAGCAGCTGATTTGGAAAGGATGGACTCCATAATTCCTGAACTAGTCGAGGATTCGCCCTGACTCGGCGGCACGGGCATGGAGCTCTGAGCCATGGCTTTGTTGAGTGTGGCCAGGAGGATTTTGAGCAGGCGCTGAGTCTCGTTGGCTGTTGAGGCGTCAGCGCTGCTGCGATTTCTCAGGTCCGTGTCATAGAGGCCGATGGTCTCCATTACTGCCGTTAGGCTGTCCCCCTGTCCAGCCTCGGCTGTGTTTTCGTCTTTCTGGCCCACTAAAAGAACAAACAACCAAAACTTCTTACTGGACTTAGCCCGAATCATGAGCAAGCTTTGTTTTTTTTTATCTCTACTTTGTAGAAAAAGTTAGTGTAGAACACATAAAGAGCTTATACAGTGATGCACTTTTTCTAAGTTTAATGATAGAATAAAAATCTAATCTAAGTGGTAAAAAAGCAGCAAAGGACTGCTGAATTTCTAGTATTCATCAAGCTTTAAAAGGAGAGAGAAGGTTGTTGAGATTTCAGTGACTCAGAACTAATCAGAATGTGCAAAATGCAAACACAATCTTCACACATTCACACCTCACAGACTTTGGAAGCAGAATGCATTAAATTCCTGGCCAAAAAAAACAACAACAAAAAATTAACTAATTACATTAATTTAAATAGGTAGCATTCTCTGGTCTCACCTCTACTTGGTTCCCCGTTACTAAGATGATCAGTGCGTTGGTGTTTGTTCATTCCACCTTCGCCGTCCCCTTCGAATTTCCTTTTTAGACTGTTGGCATCCCAGCTTCCATCCTCCCCTAGATCCCTCCCTGGATCCTGAACCAGGGTTTTCTTATGTAGCTGGATCAGCTTAAGCAGCTGTTTCATCTTGTCCTGGTCGTACTCGTTCTGGGACAGCTCCGACTTCGAAGGCTGTGGCTCGCCGTGGGGTTTGGGTTGCAGCTGAGCACCATTTGAATGCGTCGTGTCTGGCCTACGTTTGCTGGTTTCAGGAGGTGCCTTCTCCTGGCCAAGCCTCTCCAGGGAGACTCTTTCTGCTCGGTCCGATCCTCTGTCCGAGCCCCCCCAGTCAGAAACAGGGCTGTATTCCATTGGCACAGAAAGAGGAGCACAAACAGGAACTGATGCGGGTGGAGGTACGGGGGCGGGGCTCCTTATTCGTTCCATTATGTCCCGTGCCTTGCCCAGAGGTAAAACGTAGTTTGCAGAGTTGTGAACGTACGACCGTAACACAGCGTCCATATTAAATTTGGGTCTAGGCACCGAAATAGGGCTTGCCCTTTCATCAAAACTGTTTCTGTAGTCAGGCAGAATAAAAGGTCGCACCGTTCCAGACTCCATACGCGTTAGATAGTCTGCGGATTGGCGTTCCACACCAAGACTCAGGTCCTTGCCTGGCTTCAGACGCAGCTTAAACAAGGCATAGTGTAGTGCAGGAATAAAAGGCTCCATGGAGGTCAGGAAAGTTGCCTGGGGCTCTGGCTCCGACACTCTGGCAGCTAAAAAAAATAAATAAATGAGACGCATGTTAGATTCTATAGCTGATTCAGCTTTTGCAGCTACACACAAAAAGGGCTTTCCACTAAGAGAAGGTTAACAGTGAAAAAGGAAAAGAAATAGATTCATTAAAGTGACACACTTGATTTCTTTTTTTTTTTTAACTAGCTTCTGAGTTTCAGGGAACATGTTATATATTACTTAAACAAAGATTTTAGAACAAAAACGTTGTATTTTAACCAAAAGAAGCTGGAAGCTTTAGTTAGGCGGAATAAAAAGATGCACAAGAAACAGGGATATCTGCAGCCTTCAGAGTATTGTTAACTAAACTCCACTTTGGGAGAAATTCTCATTTTATAGTCGGTGTTCCAGTAATATTTGGAAGTATCTTCTTTTTGTCGCTTTCCATGACCCCACTTAGGTTTTTCATTTTGTCTTGTAAGAACAATTTTAACAAAGACTGTATCTGTTCTCCAAGGCAAGGCTTAATAAACAGCGTGAATGAAGAACAATCATCTTTTTCTTGCTAAATAAGACTAATGCTTTATTTCCTAAAACAGGGGCCGAATTGTTCCCGTTATGGATATTTAATTATCAAAAGAGTAAGACTGTTCAAATAAAGTAAAGGAAATTCAATCTAATCTCTAAGTTTATTTGAAGGCAAGCTGCATTCGAGGAACAGTTCACAATGGCGTTAGTGAATGTGCAACTAGCATAAAGTTATCACATTCTTGTATACACATCACAGCCTACGGCAGACCGGTGATGAGAAAGACGTGGGGAAGTAAAAAGAGAAAAACCTACAGAGACCTCTCCTCACAGGTAGCATATAACAGAAACAAGGAATCACCCGCCTTTATACAAAATCTAAGGCCGCTGACACAGATTACAAAATGAAACATACAGCTTCCTCTGCTAATTAAAAAGAATACATAGTTCTGCACAAAATGTCTCATTACATTCCACAGTTTTATTAAATAGGTCAGCACAGCCATCTAACAGGACAGGTTAAAACTGTTCAAGCTTCCTTCTGCTGAGCCAAGATGCTGATTTTATTTTTGACCAGGTCTAGACCACTGCTCACCCCTCCTGCAGCACAAATACTCTGTTTAATGACCAAATCACTGGGGTTGATCTCTATGATCCAAAGGCCATAAATTCCTGCTACCTGTGATTCCTTTATGCCCTAGAAGAACCATAATCTGATCCCCAGGTTGCATTTATTAATGCAAAATGAGGCCAAATGAAGCACTGAGTGCTTATACTGCACAGTTCAAGGAAATCATTAGAGTAGAATATTTCTGTATTAAAACACTTTTTAATTGAAATCACAAAAATAATAGACAACAGTATTTCTTTTTTTATTCAGTTGAAGACATTCATCTCATAACTTTTTTGGAACAATATCTTCTAAAAACAAAAAAACTAAGTTTTGTTGCAGGTTTAATGAAAAATGCAGGTGTTCCTTGACTCAGTCAGTAAAACAATGCAGCGAGATTTTTACTCACAGTGCTTGACAACCATCCTCGACTCCTGAAAGATGAATAATGCTTGAAGCTTCTTCTCCATCCGCCCCCGCCGCTCTGGAAAACAAACAGCCACCTTTTTAGAGCTGAACCTTCACCAAAGGCAACAAGTAGGTGGTCCGACTCACACAGAAAGAGATTCATTAGAAAGAGTAAAGAAAGGGAGAACGAGAAATCTTTGCAGCACCTTTTGAGTCAATCATCTGAGCTGAGGACAGCAGGAAGAGGAAACCCTTGTCAAACAAGGACTTCACTAGTACCTGGGAATGAGAAAATCCTTTCATTAGACACAACAAAGCCTGTTTTCTTACAGCTTTAATATATCAAACAATTAGCAAAATCATCTTCATTTGTATAGCCTTCTACATGTACCCAGGGGGTGCATAAATTCTTTATGTCGGATCATTGGTTATCAGAAGGTCATTTTAGGGACGCACCAGTAAGCTTTCCTGGAAAGCTCACTTCATTTGTCCAGTTTGGCTGATTCCAAATGATCTTTTAAAGGTCTTTAAAAAGTACCTAAAAACCCAACAGTTATTAATCTAACATGTAAAAAAGAACAAGAATTGACCGTGAAGGAAAAAAAAACATTAACTGCTTTTTTTTTTTATATATGCTGTTTATAAAAGAAAAGACAAAACAAGCAATATTGATCAAAGAAAAAATCTTTTTAAAAGACAGTCCAGTCAGAAATAGACAAAGCTCTGGCCTTTGTTCCGCATTCAAAATATCCCTGCACTCTTTGGATAGTTTAAATCTTCACAGCAACATCTTTCTTTAGGGGTTAAACAGAGATATTTGTACATTTAAACTACAGTCTTTCCTCCTTCATAAGATAGAAAAAACGTACTAAAAAAAGTTGGTCAAACCCTTAAAAACGAGGGACTTGTATTTATTTCTAATAAAATCCATTCACCTCCCTGAAGCTGAAAACATCTAAGATTATGTGGTCCTCCTTCAGCTACAGCTCAATGCAGAAGCCTTAGGGATGGATTATTCATTGATCAGATTAGTGATTAGTAGATTTAGTGTATCCACCACTTTCTGCATTAATTTTGTTTTTGTATGGTGCTGATGATATTCTGATAGTCATTATAAAAGCTTGGGTTCCAGATGAAAGTCTCACCATTCGGTCCCTCTCCAGTTTGTTGATCAGTGCTGTCAGGCTGCCGCTGGTTGCTTTACCCTTTCCCTCCACCACCTCAAACAGGCTGCAGGACATCCCACACTTCATCACTGCAGACAAAGTAATATACATGTGGATATTTGTGGCACAAACCAAAGATACCTCTGTCCATATGAAGCTCATCTAGTTTTACAATAGATGCCGTTTGTGCCGACCTTCCCGTGATATGCTGTAGGTGTCCCAGGAAAATAAAAAGGGGGGGATCTTCCTCTTCACCTGATCCAGCTGCATGCCTTGATTCATCTCTAACTTCTCACGCCTGCAGAGGAGAGTAACCATTCAGCAGCCGGTAACAGACTTCTCATACCTTCATATCGCGCCTAATCAATCTTCCTCTCACATGTCAGAGTTAAAAGTTCAGTGAAAAGAATTCAATAATAATTAACAGACAAAAGGAATACTTGCATCTTGAAAGGGAGGTAGGGGCGTGAAAAGGAACGCAAACAGACAGGGAATAACTCCTGACCCTTGTTCACCAGTGGACCGCTCCACACCGTGTAGCAACTCTTCCCTGTAACAACATCAACACTTAAAGTGGAAAAAAATACAAAACACTATCATGTAGCTGTGGATAAACGTGATTATGAAGCACACTGATGGGTAGGTTTGCACTGAATACTAAAAGAAAGTTCAGAAGTTATTAAAACTAGGGCTGGGCAATTCATCACCAAAAATAAGTGAATAACATTTTTTGTTTATAAAGATTTAAGTTTTGGAAAATCTGGATTTTTTTTTACACTAATCCAATCCGTGGGCTCAGAGTGACATCACTTCATTAACTTTTGTTGTTCGATGTGTACTCATAAACTAGCTAACTGTGTGATACCACTGGCTGCAAACGTTTAGTTTGATGTATTTTTATTGTTTGTTGTAAAACATTATTACTTTACAAGCATGTTTCACAGCTTATATTTTGTTGCCTGTTTGAATTATTGTCACCTCCCAGAGGAGATGATTAAAAAATAAAGCTGGTTTTAGAAAACAACATATGTCGTTTGTTTTTGTTATTTTTATTAAGGAAGATGAGTGAGAAAACAAATCAGATTTGGTAAGGAAAAAAAATCTGAGATTACCTTTGTAAGCCACATGTTTCAGCCTTAATCAAAACTAGGATTTAGATCCAAAACTGTTGTACTGTTGAAAAGTTAACTACAGGCACAGTGAATAAGGAGTACATAAAACCATTTACCTGTACTTCCTTCAGGGGAAATGGCATTGAACCTGTTTAAAAGAGAAACTAAATGTTTATATATAGCGACAGATACCAAACTGGCCATGCAAGCTTACTTGACATGTTCACCAAGTGACAGTTTCCTGCAGGATAAGGTACCTGTGTGCAGTCATAGGGGATGCTGCCACCTCCTTGCCTTTGTACTGAAAGGAAACCACAGCGTAGGGGCATACATGCCGGGGCCGCGCTTTGATCTCGTCAAACGCAAACTCGAAGAAATATTGCTGCAAAACACACCCAACTGTACGTTAGCTTAAGGAAATCCACGCAGAAAAAGGGGCGTGTAAATATGACCTGTTAGTTACCTGCGTGAGCTCAAAAGCTCTATATGACAGCAAAGATGTGACCCTGCTGGCACTTTTGGACAAGTGACAGTCGAACTTTGGTGAAGGTTCGATGGCGTTCTTAGGCATGTTCTCGTGGATGTGCTTTACTCGTCCCTAAGAAGCAAAACATCACAACTGGCTATAATTCCCAGGAAAGTTGCAGTGAATAAATACAGCAAGAAAACAGTTAAGAGCCTTACCCTCATGACCTTAAAGATGATCATATCTCCAAACGAACCCACTTCAAAGGGATTTATTTGTAATAAATCAGAGTATTTTGAGAGATAAACACCTACAAAGGAACAAAAAAGAGGCCTTAAGTTACAGCAAGTTGCTTTAGAAAGAACAGATATGCTTTTCAATTGTATTACTGCTGAAAGATCTGAGTTCAGACTGCAGATGGTAAGTTATTTAAACATCACAAGTATTTAAACACATTTTCTGTCAAACCATAAGAAAAGAGGACAAATTACCCATTGATGGATTTCCTAATGTTGTGATCCTGCAGTGTCCTAATGACAAGCCTTTCTCACAGATCCACTGGAGCTGAATGAATAAAGCAAAACAAAACACAAAATATCACCATAAGGATTTTAATTCAAGACTTTATGACTTATGTAAAATAACTTCAGAGGGTGAACTTAAAAACTTACACTTCATATAACTATAGGAAATGAAATCTAATTTGGGTGTGTATTTCTTTGTTGCTGGAATGCAAGTCGGTTGCTTCTGCCATTAAGTTACCAACTGTAAGAGTTTCTATGCTCATTATTTATCCATAATGGTTAGTAACAGATTTTAAGTCAACTATTGAAATTTGTTTAATGCATCGTGTGCTGAAAGACCTGATGGTAGACAAATGTAGCAAGAATATTTTTTATTTTAATTATCCAAAGGGACAAAAACTGGTCAGTTTTAGGTATGATTTCTTTTGAGTTTGTGGAAAGGTCTAAATGACAGGACTGTTGGTAATTGGCACTAACATTTTAGCTTTTAATGACTACTTTAGCAAAAAACACATACCCAGAAAGAATGAATTTTCATTGTATATTTCTCAAAAGAGAAAAAAGGTACATTATTAAGACTCATAAGAAGTTAGTTACTCAGCAAAGAAGCTAGGGCAAGATTAAAAAAGTAAACTAATTCCAGTGACGAAAAAAAAAAAAGGTTTCAAAATCTGTTAATACTGAGAATTTTTACATCACAAAAGAAACAAATTGTAAGAGTTATGATTCAGTAGGTGCCCAGAAACAAATACCATTTATTTTAACTTTGAAAACTATGAATGTTTCAAAGCAAACTAACCTTGGATTTATCTGGAAAAAGGAAGCAGTACGATTCAGAAAGCTCTTGTTCGGTCCGCCCCTCCTGCTTCATTTCTCGCCGCTTCTCAATAAACTGGCAACAACAAAATGGGGCAAAAAGTTCAGTTAGTTTTTGCAATCTGAACCAAGATGACAGACAGCATAGGTATGCTGTGATTTCCAGTCTTTAAAGGACGACCGATTGGACCAACCTCCTTCTCCAGCAGCTCGTTGTGAATCAGCCTGGCCTTACAGTAGGAGAAACTTCCGCGTGATGAAGCATCCAAGTAAAAGGAGGAAATTATCTTCACAAGCTCCTCAAACTCCCGGCTTTCGGGGGGCAAAAACTGGTAGAGACCTGGACACAGACGTTCACAGGTGAAGCGTGCTTAAATACCAACACACAAGACGAACATAGCAGAAGCCAAAAACAGAAGTCCCTATTATTCCCTCTTATTTTCAGCATCACAGATCTAAAGACGGGACAGATATCTGATGTAGTAAGCAACCCATTTGCATGGAAAGTATTGCATTTAACATGTAGTAGCACACCAGTTATTAAATCCACTCCAGGACAGTGATTCTATATCGAGCTCTGATGTGCACGACATCAACATAAAAGTGTAGGAAATTTAAATAAATGTAAATTTAAATATATATTATTCTGTACTGATAGCAGCTAAAGTCACAATCTAGTTTGAGTTTTTGATAAATATCATCCCTAATATAAAAGTAAATTTGGTCCCAGAATAATCCCTCTAATATAATCTGATTCACGGTAAAAAGAAATCATTCCAGATAGGGCTGCAACTGACGATTATATAGCAAATCGATCAATCTGTCGATTATTTTACTAAGCAAGTAATAATCGGATAGCAAAAGAAGATTTTTACGAAAACTAAAACTTTTCCACTTGAGGAATTCTGGATAGAGCGCATTGACAGACGAAAGCTATTAATCTTAAATGCAAAATGTTTTGATATAGTCACCGCTCTAAGTGGGTCGCTCTGTCAGCTTAAGGCATGTTTTAGAGTCTCTGTACTCCAGTTAACGATAAATTGATTCCTAAATTAGTTGAGGATTATTTTTTAAACAATTGATTAATCTTATCGTTTCAGCCCTAATTATTTATATGCCTGCAAACAGGTGACATTGCCAGTTGCCCCAATATCTCTACCTATGTGCTGTAGGTAGTAGAAAGCCTTCAGTAAAGAGGAAAGGATAAAGACAGGGCAACAGAGGACAGCAATTTGCATCTGAGCTCTAGAATTTAAATGGTTGTACATTTCAAGGAAAGAAATCATTCAAGCTCAGCAGTTTAAAAATGACTGATCTGTAAGATTTCTTCTAGACGTTTGTCTTTATATTTGCTTATGCTTGAAGAAAGGTTCACTTTACTGTGGGACTTCCACATGTCAGAGCAGGATGAGGGGCTTAGACAGGTCCTGTTTAGATCAACACACACAGGGATGCTGTGGGAAGTGGGTTGGGGTGATTCTGGGCAGTTTGATAACAAGTTTTGGGTCGACACATGAGGGGGGGATTAAGCCATGCCCTTCAGTGAGGTCAAACAGACACCCACATGTATTTTAGTGATGGCGTTCGCGCTGCAGCAGACAACCAAGGGGGCTACGGTTCATGGAGAAGATGCACAACTCAGACATTAGTCTTCAGCTGGTCAGTCCTCAAACGTTTAACTTCCAGGCGCAACACTGCTGCCCGCTGGTAATCTGAGCCTTACCAACCGATGCTAGCGTTATGTCTGCAAACAGCGGTACACCAGCCCGTCTATATACAGTGTGTGTAATCTAATATGAACTAAATAAGTCGGCGAATCGTTTTAGTTAATGTAAATAAACCGTCGGAACAGAGTTGCTAGCTAGCAGGCTAGCGGCATTCAGGAGTTAGAATTATGAAAGCAGGGCAGGCTCTGTTGAAAATAGCAGCGACATGGCAACACCTTTCCGTTCTCTCGTCTTCCTCGGAATCTGGAAATTCTTCCGTGGCAACTCCTCGCTCGATCTCTGAGCAGACAGGGGAGACCTGCTGGAGCACCGGGCGTCCGCCAGCAAGCTCCTCCGCCGTTCTGGGGCTTCTTGTTCGGGCATTACACCGTCTCTGCATCCAGGCTGTTCGCCATTTTGGTTGGCTGTGGCCAAAGTGGCGGCTGAATTCTTGTCCGCTTCGCCGCCCCTCGGGAGCGGGTCTCCCGTCTCTGCGCATTCTGAGTCCGCCTTTCCTGCAGCCTTGGGGTTCAGGGCCATTTTGAGGCACCGTGCGCTGGGTAAAGGCGTTGTAGCTCGGACGATTACGGCGCCGCTTTCCACACACTGTCCTCTTCACCCAGCCTCCGCCATTGTAAAAATGACGTTCACGTTCTTCTCCACCACTGCAAAACGTTGCCGTCACTGTTTACATGCTAGGAAATCTACACCCCCTAGCGGCGAGAGGGAGTGTTGCAAGAAGGGACCCCTCCAGAGGCGTGACTGGAGGGATGGAAGAGTGAAAATAGTTTTCACACAAAGATACATTCTAATGCTACAAAATGCAAAAAAACTCATTGCATATCACATTTCTGATTCAAATTAATTATTTTACTATGCTATTATAGTACAGTTGATCTACAGTAAATTAACTCTAAATAAATAAGAGTTAATTTATTTACTAATTAACTCTAATTTCCAGGGTTACTGGTGGTCTTTTCTCAATCCAAAAAAATAATACTTAATTTTATTAAGCTGGTTCTGTTTTATATTTAGGTAACCATATATTTCAAAATAAAAATGTTATATATTTACATTTAACTTAATTTGGCTACTAGATGAATAACTGATAACCAAATGAAATGAGATACACAGGTATGCATTAAAAGATGTATCCTAATCGCTGTCTTGTCACACTGGAAACTAATCCTTCAGTTAGATTAGATTAGATTATGTAAGCGATTTGTAAGAATTAATACCAAAATTGCCAGTCATATTATAGAGTGCATCAAAAATCTTACACTTTTTGCCAATAAACATACCAGTTCTCAACATATTTACATTTTTGAGCGTATTTGTTAGTGCTGCTCTATTTTTTAAAGTTTACCTACAAAAAACATTTAAGCACATTAAAGATCTTAGCGGCCTGCATACCAAAAACAGTTGGGGTGCTTTATGGCATAGAAATGTAGGTTAGGAGTCAGAAAGGAGGGAAAGAAAATAAGTGTACACTCATTCTTGAATTATCCCACTTCTGCAATATTGTATTCCACCACAGAGGAGTGCTATAGAGGCACCGTTTAAAGATTTATACAGTTACTGTCATTTTTTAAGTTTACCTATAAAATATATTTTAGATTCTAAGAGCTAGACAGACCTTTATTTTTATTTTATTATTGTCTCCATGAGAACCTATTTAAAACTTTTTATATGAAAAGAAAAAAAACATTCTATAATGTATTAAGATAAAAATCTTACAAAAACCACATTTCCACAAGAGAAACACACCAAAACAACTCTAATTATGGTAAGGTATGACTGAAATTGAATACTTTCTTATCAGACATGTTGATATCAGTAACTTCTTTGACTTTGTCTTCAACACGGGTTATGGGTTAACCATGCTCCCCCTGCTATAAACATCAAACTCTTTAAAACGGAGATAGTCTTTCAGTCTGGGAGGAAGAGGAAGGAAGTTGATAAAAACTGGGGCTCTCAAGCGCAGACGGCTGAGATGTTCCCTTATCCTCAACCGACACAGGTGCTTCAGGCTCCGTGTACTTCCTGCCAGTCAAAAAGAAAAGTAAACAAAAGCAGTGAGTGCACTTAAGGATACATCTCTAGCAGGCAAAGGAAATTGAGGGCAATCCATCATTGGTAATAGATTAGGGAAGTTCTCACTTTGAATGTGACTGATTTCTGGCCATTGATTCTGTTGCTGCAAGGTTTCTTTTAATTTAGGGCAGAAGGAGACATGGTCAGTGTAGTCCAGCATGATGCGCACCACCTGGCCAGACAAGGGCTTTAGCCAGGACACTGTTATTACCTCACAGAACTGTGGATGGTCAAAAACAGCCATCAGACACTTAAACATAAAAATCTAAAAAGGTTATCCTGCTTATCTAACTTTCATGCAAGTTTCTCTCACCACCATGTCTTTGATGACTGAGGTTGTCCAAGGAGCATAGTCATGAGAACTTTCACCGTAAGGACAGTCAAAGCAACGCCTCACATCATAACCATTGTTCAGAATCATCCTCAGCATCACTTCATCTTTTAAGGCATACTGCAGGGCTGAGGGGAAGTGAGTGGTATTGATTCTGGAGTAGTAATTCACGTTTGCTCCGTATTTCAGCAAAGTGTTGATGAGTTCATAGTTGCCCTGTCTGAGTGCTATCTGCAGACAGTTGACAGGATCCTGGTTCACCATTGCCCCAGCCTCTAGCAGTAAGCGGGTGCAGTGAAGGTCATTGTTGGACACGGCGAAAAAGAGGGCAGACCGGCGCTCATCATCATAACTGTGGCGTATCTTTGGATGGAGCATAAAGTTTGGGTCATGGCCCGCCTTGAGCAGAATCTCAATACACTGAGCATGTCCTCCAGCAGCAGCAGAATGAAGTGGACTCATTCCACTTTCTTTGATAGCCTGTAGCTTGGTAACAGGGATGAGGGCTTCCAGGGCTCTGTTAGAGACAGTACCAAGTGTTGGAACCTGGTATAATTGTTGAAAAATGTTTTAAAATAGAGAATGTGTGTTTTGATATTCCTTACAGTCTGTGCCCGTGGTATGCCACACGGTGAATTGGCAGGTGCCCGCTGTGAAGAGGAAAATTGGGATCTGCTCCATGGTCCAAGAGCAAGGAGATTATGTCAGGGTTTCCAGATGCTGCTGCATCAAATAACACAGTACCAGACTCTGTCTCTGATCTCACATGGGCTCCTAAAAAATAATACAGGAACAACAAAGATATATTAAGACTTTTATTCCCAGCAGTTAAGGAGTTGAATCTAACTTCTTGCTTTGTGTTATAAGAGAATCATGCATAATTCATTCCTCACTCGTCTTGCCTGTGTGACTGATTAATTCAGTTTGACTTGGACTTTCACTTCATTACTGGTCACAAGCTGGGGAAATAAAAAAGGAGCATACAATAAATCACCTTATTTACCTTTTTCCAACAGAGTCTCCACCACATTCAGATGCCCGTTCTGTGCAGCCAGAGCAAGTGGAGTTTTGCTTTTAATATCAAGTGCATTCGGGTTGGCACCTGACTCCAATAGCAAATGTACAAAGTTCTCCAAGCCTAAAAAGGCAGACTCATGTAGAGCGGTCCTGTTGAGGGGTCCTGTTTGGTCTACAGTGGCATTGTACCGAAGGAGAAGTGTGGCCAAGTCATACTGGTCATTCATAATAGCTTAAAGTCAAAGAGAAGGAGAGGGGAACAGATTCAGAACATAAGGCTAATGTTGGGCATAGAAAAAAGGGAGCCGGGGTTTATACCTGCCACAAGTGGAGAGTCCTGCTCATCATTTTGAACATCTGGGCTGCAACCATTCTGTAACAGGAATATGGCATTGTGTCTAAGCCCATGGACCACAGCTAGAAACAGAGGTGTCTCACCCTTTAAAGTGCGACACTGGGCTGCTCCTGGGGGGGACTCTGAAACCACAACACCCAGAGTCAACGTTCAAAACCCACTAGAAAAGCAAGTTTCCAATCAAATGGTTTTTCTATTCTCACCTGAGAAGATAATTTCTAGTATCTTTTTGTTATCCTGCACTGAAGCCTCATGCAGGGGGATCCATCCTCGCTCATCAACTCTAGACAGAGTCTCAGGTTGCTCTGCTAGTCTGTTCAGTGCCACCTCATCCCCTAAATGAGAGAAACTTCTGGATATTTTACATAATAATCAAATACAAGCCGTTAAAATGTCACCAGCATTAGCTTACCATCCCTAATTGCTTTGAAAATCTCATCAGGATCTGTGCTGGGCTTTAGATCACTAGTAAAACAGTCATTTTTAGACAAAAATGAACATATGAACAAAATTTGAAAAAATACTGTTTATATAGCAGGTAAAACATGTATTTTGTCTGTCAATTTTTTTCTCAGTAAATACATTTCAAATAAGTGCACAAAGTAAGATATGTTTAACTGTTAACTGTGATGTATTCCAGCTGTTAAATTCCCTTACTAAAATGTATTCAGTACCCAGTAGAAAAGGCTTACTTTGGTAATGTCAGTTTCAAGGGTTTCCCTCTGGGTTATTATGCGTCAGTGTCATTTCTATCCATTGTTACACACAAACAGTCTTCAAAGCTTAAAAGTCTCAGGTGGACTTATATGCACGCTTAACTCCAGTTTTTGTCACAGATTTTTAAATGGAATACTGATTATTTTCTAAAATCAGATCAGAGTTTCCTGTGACGTTTAAACATGAATACTGTCTTGGTGAAAAACTCACTCTCATTTCACACTGGGTTTTATCTATCTTTAGATTCTTTACAAGAATGTCCTGGTACATTTTCCAACTAATCTTTAATTAAATTGAGCACTAAATCAACTGCTAGCAATTTGAAGATGTCTTTTTGAGGGTGGGGAATGGCGGCCCAGTGGTTAGGTCATAGAGCTAGGAATCCTAAGGTTCTAAGTTTGAGCCCCACACCCATAGACTGCCACTCTGGGTCCCTGAGCAAGACCCGTAACCCCAAGCTGCTCCATAAGGGGAATGGGCTAAATGCAGAGTTCAATTTCTCAAATGTGAGATCAATAAAGTTCAATTATAATCTATATATATTTCAGCTATTTTTGTGGCTTTCTTTGCGTCTTGTACCTCCTTTTCTGCAGGTGTCCATTTCCAATTTTTTATTCATGTATAACTCCCAAGTTGTTAATGCATAATTCGATTTATTGAATCATTTTAAACATTTTGTGAGTGAGGATTATTTCAGTTGTCACCAGCATCTGGGAGGAAATATCTATTACAAATATCTATTTACTGAGAAAAATTGGATATGCATAGTGCATGTTAATAGACAAAACATAAGAAATTCTAACCTTGGATTCAACCCCTTGAGTTTCCTATACTGAATCAGACTCTGTTCAATGATATACTGCATGGCCTCGTCCTCATCCAGGTCATCCTCTGACTGATAAAAGTCATCCCCGGTTTCAGAGCTCATCGGGAAAAAGCTAGCGTAGGTGACATCCAGACAGTAAACAACAACGTTACATGTGGGACATGAGTATTTGATGCACTGATGACAAAACACAATTTAGTTTTTTGCAGGACCAAAATCCATTAAGCATTAACATTAATTTCTATTTCTATGCATCTTGTTGGAGAAATCCCAGGAACAGTTCAAGCAGATGTCCAGAGACTTAGCTGTACTAAGGCTTCATAAAGGTTGA